GCAGTTAAAGCAGCGCAAAGATTTCAATACAAAAAGGACAGTGGGCACGCAAAAGGGTGGACTACCTCGGGCTCCAGGTCGGCACTGAGGGAATGTTACCCCAAACCAAAAGACTTGAAGCCCTCCTCGCACTCAAATCGCCCACCACAGTCACGACCCTTCGGAGCTTCTTAGGGATTTGCAACTACCTTCGACAGTTCGTGGACGACTACGCAGGAATCGTTCGACCCTTAGTCAAACTACTGCAAAAAGACGAACCATGGGAGTGGGGACAGGAACAGGAAGCCGCAGAAAAAGAATTAAAACGACAGATCACAGAGGCATCCTGCCTAGCATACCCAGAGAAAGGGAAAGAATACTACCTGGAGACCGCATACTCAGATCATAGTATCAGCTCGGTACTGTACCAGAGACAGGAAGCAGAGAAACGAGTTATTGCCTATGCCAGCAAAGCCCTCCGGGGAGTGGAGATGAAGTTCTCCGAGTGTGAGAAGGCGATATTTGGAAACATCTGGGCCATACAACATTTTCGGAACTTGTTGAACGGAGAGAAGATCATCCTGGAAACGAATCATGAATCCTTGGCATACCTCAACAGTAAGAAGATTCGAGAGGGCCGCGTAACCAGCAGCCGAATAGCCAGCTGGGCACTGACACTCCAAGGCCTACCAATCACAGTGAAATACGCAAAAAACAAGAAAAGTCCAATGGCCCAAGGTCTTGCCGATTTACATGATTGTACCTTTGACAGCATAGAAACAGAGGACGAAAAGATACCTCCGGAGGACAACAGGTACCTGCCCTTCAGGAAGGAGACATGTGCCGACCTACCAGTGGTATACATCGATGGATGCTCCAAGATGAAGGAGAACAAGCTTCACGCGGGGTCAGGAGTCATTTGGGAAACTGGCCCACTCACAGGGATTCAAGAGGGATTTCAGCTGGGACCAAAGTCAACCAGTATGCAGAGTTGGTCGGGGTACACATCGCTGTCCAAATGGCATCCGATAACCAAATACGAACCATGGAAGTTCCGATTCCAAGCCACGTCGCACTGGTCACAATACCAAGAGGAACATTCGTACGCATAGGGGACAAGGTATTATATAACCTAGACAAAAGCCTACACCAAGCGGAGGTAGAAATAGTAGACACATTCCGAGGCCACAAGTTTGAGATAAGCAGCACTCTGTCCAACTTGTTGAACAGTAAAGAATTCCATATGGTGAAATTATCCCTCAGCGAATCAGAGATTAACATAACAGATCTTACTTGGGCGACCGAAGAGGCTGGATATCAGCGAAATCAACAGATGGGGATGGGAATCACAGGGGCAACAGGGATGATCATACTAGTCCTGGCTATTCTAACCTTAACATACCATGTGGCCAAAATGAATGCCGAACTTAAAAGACTAATCGCAGGCACAAGCCACCTACCATTCAAGCCCAGGAACAGGGATAGAGCCAAGGCCTGATGATGCCACCCAAGAATAACCGTAGAAATATCTTTTTAACGATATCTCCTATAACACGTAGTCAATAGAATAATTTTCCCTCCCTTATCGTTTTACCTTCCTTTAGAATTTTTTTTTCTTCTTTTTCTTTTATCCTCTCTTGTCACATATAACCATGTTAAGTTGTGACACGTACGCGCGTTGTAAGGAATAGCAGCAAAACTTGAGGACAATCGATGGTTCATGATGGAAGAAGGGTATACATATTTTTTTTAAAAATAACCCGTGGCCATTTGACCACTGGTCATTTTTAAAAGGGCGGAATGTTGTATACTAAACCCTTCTTCCAAAATTGAGATTAATAATATTTGATGATATTTTATATATTCTCTTTTTACTTGTTTTTTTATGAATGAAACACACCAAAGCGCAGCAAACTGCAAAACACCAGGTGTTGTTAAGTAATGAACTGGAGGAGGGCTAGGATGGCAGAATTTGCACCCTTGCTTCAAGGAAAGATAAGGCCTGATGAACGGGCACATGTCACCCGTGCAGGCGCAGAGACAGTGGGAGTGTCAGCCAGACATAGTTAAGGCAAAAAGCCCAACCATCCTGCATGGTTTTTAAAGTACGTCAAAATTCGAAATTCAACAACAGAGTAGGCTAAAGTATCGATCCTCGCGCTCGCTCAAATTGGAGACCAGGCTGCGAGCTACATCAATGAACCATTGCCCATTTGCTAATCCAATACTGAATGTTAATATTACTGAAGTCAAACGAATTCTATGACCTCAGCACATGGGCAATAATAGGGCAGTGTCGACTCAAAGGCAATGGAAGAAAGCAGAGGCGCCTTTGTCTAAATCACAACCACAGAAAGCCAGGAATCATCACTGATTGTGTGTTTAGGGATTCCGAGCTAGTTGGAACACGTGCACAGGGAGGGAGCTGATTTAAACAACCCTGCACGTCTGAACGTGAGGGGGCCTTTGACCTGAAATTAAGAATAACACTCCCAGAGCAGAAGGTTGGATGGCCACAGTGAGACGAGAATAAGAGTGGTGTATATCTCTCAAGGAGGCAGACCCAGCTGAACAACAAGGCTGCGGGGGTCACCAGAAGTTCGCGTTCGCCTAGTTAAGACAAAAGCTCAATTATTCTGTATGCTATTAAAGTACGTTAAAGTCGGAATTTAACAACAGGGTAGGCTAAAGTTATTGATATTCACACCCACTCCAATAACCAGGCCACAGGTTACGCCTACTGAACCATCACCATCATTAAGTCAATATGAAATGTTATTTCCATACTTTAATACTTTCTATACAACTCGACCCGAAGCATATGACAATCAGAACCTTCCTAAGTCAGAATTGAATCGCACCCAGACAGGAGCGAATAGTCGATATAAGGTTGAGAGGAGGAAGGAAATAAGAGCCGGCGAACTGCAAACGTAAGCAAAAAAGCCGGGAACGACACCAGCCCAGCAACAGCGAGTCGGGCTTCGACAGGCCATAAAAGTAGAAATAATAACTCCCCGGGGTCAGGGGACACAAGAAGAAGCAGGCAGACAAAAACCAGAACTGACTCCAAGGTTCAACCGCCCTCACATACAAGGAGTGACGGAAATTAATGAGGCCTTGAGTTAACGGCGTCAGCTGGACAGCAACAACCACGGCGAGCAGAGATAAGGGTGGGGCAAAGACTGCGGGGCTAGGAATGCAACTTCCGGTCAGTAAAGCCCTGACAAACAAGTTAAGTTAAAGACATCACACTACATAATATCGTACATAACATCAATGTTAACGCTATTCACCGTAAACTATATCCGCTTATATAACCATGCAGACACCAAGGAATACGAATTCCTAGGATCAAGAACTTACCCCTTAACCTAAGATATCGGAAATAAATTAATAGTAATAAGCATATGCATGAAAAGACAAAAGTAAAACTTATGGAAAAGCCAGGATAACGGGATGAATCACCACCAGGTCGAATATAAATACATAATAAAAAAAAACGATGTTAAACCCAGGTTCGGAGAGAAAGGGAGATCCCGGCCGTCTTTGTATCCCCGCAGCGCGGGATAGGAGTGTGTATACGCTCGGGGAAACACCTCCACTTGAGTCAAGCACCACGATGGGAAACGACAGACCTTAGGTTACATACAGAATCATAACTGTGAAATAGTAAGGGACAAATGTTAACTTAAAACTTTTTAACCATTTCTTTGTGCGCCGGGTCGGAGAGAGTGTTGCCCCTCCCTCCAGGTTGTGCAACACGAACAAAGACGCCTATGAGACGATTTGTAACGTCTGTGTTTTGGGTTCATGAAGAAGGCCAGACAAGAGATAATATTGCACCCAGACAGAGAGACGACTTCGAGGCAATTTGTAACATCTGATTGTTTGCTCGTGGGTTTTATGGAGGGAGTGTGACAACGGAATATACCGTGAGTGATGCACACAAGGACATACGGACGTACGGACACACACATGGACACACCTGCCTACGGACAGATCCTGACACAGCAAAAATCGAAGAAGCCCCGCCTTGTGGGCGGGATCCAGGGGGATTTTTCGGCATAAAGGAAAGGATCCTGAGCATTGGAAACTAGTGCGACCAGCGGGTCGACTCAGGGGAGTGCGACCAGCGGGTCGACTCAGGAGCGAGTGCGACCAGCGGGTCGACTCAGGAGCGAGTGCGACCAGCGGGTCGGCTCAGGAGCGAGGCGACCAGCGGGTCGACTCAGGAGCGAGCTCGACCGGGAGGGTCGGCTCAGGAGCGAGCTGCGACCAGCGGGTCGGCTCGACTCATCTTCAGCTCGTCTGGGACTCAGCCGAGTTCGATCGGCTTACCAAAGCCGGCTCTCGGGGCTCGACTCAAGCGGCTCCCCATCTCCTCTGCAGGCGGCAAGACCCGCTTGACAGCTCAACTCGGCCTGCGTGGGTCAACGTTTGCCGAGTCGGAGGTCTCTGCTGCCGCCGGAGTGGTGAGGGTCGCGGTTTGGCGACGAGGCTCCGTGCACACCCTGGTCGACGACAACACTGCACGCTGCGAGCGAGTTGTGGGCGCCACCTACCGACCGGGTTCCGAACTGCGACAGCGTATCAACGGGCATCCGAACCAGTTCACCACGGTGACAGGGGAGCGACTGATACGTATGACGCGCACCGCCCCCTCACCACACGACCACCAGGCGTCTGTTTGACATAAAGAATCGACTCCGAACACTGACTATTCAAGACAACTCTTACCACTCAACACACTCGAACCCATAGCCCTCGTGGCTGGGAAGGCATCACAACGAGGACCGAGTGATGGCCATCCGTCGTTATAAAGTATTCGTAATTTTTATCTTTAATATTTAGTGGGCTGTACTCTAATCGCATAAATTCCCAACAGATCCATCAATACGAACTGATTCTTGGCACCTCCTTCCGCCGAGCCACGCTCACGTGGGGAGTGGTGGCCCACCGGATCCTTATCAGGTGATCTGGTCCCCAATTAGTAAACTTGGTATAGAGTAACGATCTTCGGAAAAGGAGCACCGTCGCAGGCCCTTACTCCGAGCCGTTCTGTTGTCAGATAACCTGCCGATGTATCTGTTGAGATTGGTGCCTTTAAGAATAATAACTGTTTTTGATTGTGTTTTTTTTTATCGCCGTATAATCTTTCAAGTATCAGTCATAATCGCCGCACGTACTCGCATCCTCTACAGAATATTCAACTGTCCCGTGACCCAAGGTGCTAACAACGTGATAAGGGTTGCGTATGATCAATAAGGAGTGCGGTACTGCGTGAACAATATTGAGTATAATCATTCATTAACGTTAAGGTTTTCTTAGCATAGTATTTGCATATTTTAACGACTCTCTCTCTCACTAACAACCATCGCGTTATGCGGGATCCATGTGCCGTTGTCAAGGTGAAATCAGACAATCGTTGATGATACTGTATTGATGCCGTGTTGACGTTCCGGGATTGAGAGTTCGCATACTATATCATAGTTAAGGTTGAATTAGTAATAAATTGATCAATACAGAAGTGGTTGTGTGATTCTTTCCTGAAATCTATGCATAAGATCTGCTTCTGCGTTGAGATCTGAACTTGGTGACCTTAATAAACACACTAATACATACTCAGTAAATGTTAAAGCGATAACGGGGTGAACCGGGGACCTAAAATATAACCACGAATACACACTCTGGGAATGTTAAAGCGAGAATGAGACGAACCTAGACAACGATGCCGAGTTAATCTAAGTTAATCTTGCATACTTACACCACACCTGCATAACTGCATACGATTAATTGCCTTATTCCGATCGATAACCCACCCTCATCACCGAGGCGGGGTCTGGTTATCATAACGACTTGCATTATCATAATTACACCCACTCGCATAATTAATACGATTACCTCTCGAATTGGCATAATTAAAATGTGCATAATTACATAAATTAACATATTTCCGGATAATTACACATTTGGCCAAATTTCATTTAATTATTATTATTTTCACTGAATATTCATAACCCACATATACAACATAATAATTTCACCCACGCACGCATACAACATAACAAATTTTGATAACCAACATATACAACACAAGTCACGCCTCGTGTGTTTTGACAACATGCAGTGTGACCTGGGGACAGCAAGGTCACACTCTGTGTGTCGCAGCAACCTCCCATGTTATTGCTGGCAGCATGTGTGTATGTGGGTAGAGGTGGCGAAGGGGTTAGCGCACTGCACTACGGACCCAGCAAACTGAGTTCACATCCCAGCCATGGCTGTCATGAGCCGGCGAGCGATATCCGAACCAGTCTTGGGTCTCCTCTAGGTCGACCCAGCCTTAAATGAGCACATGGTGCAGTGAGTGAACATCAGCATTGGGGAGACTAAGGCAGCCAGGCGTGGTGATAGTTAGTACTTATGGCACTTGCCCCATCAGTCTATTAAAGGTTATATGGGGATCTTTGTGTTGTAAGTTAACTTTGTGAGTTGGGATTGTGTTGTGACTGGTGTAATCGTGTGTGTTCGTACAGACCGCCAGGTGGAGAAAGAGGGGCTCTCTGAATTTGTCTCCCGCAAGCGAGAGATGTTCCTTGTGCAGGTAACGGGGTTCAATGGCCAACGTGCCGCTGCTAGACTTCTCGCTCACACACACAAACGAGACTGTCTCGCTCCGGCCCGTTTTCTGGTACTATTCCGACTATTCCTGAACCCAACAAGATGTACGTATGTGCACACATGCATTGAAATCCTACGCAAAAGAGCTTTATAGCTCATCGGATTCCTCCAGTAAATACACGATTCAATGTCTGTACCCTGAATGCGAAAATCGATTTTAATTAATAAATCTCGCTGAATCGTCCTGCGCATGCTGTGCGTGCCATGCACAGTACGGCCTGAGCGTGAAGCGCGAGGAGATGCGCGCCCTGGAGCAGCAGGGAGCGCGCGAGGAGCGAGCGCTCGAGCAAGCGGAGCGCTTTCTGGAGGACGACGCGGCCATGTTCGATGAGTTCCTCAAGCAGAACGATCGCAGCGCCGTGGAGGCCATCAGGGTGTGAGCGTTCGCACCGCATCGGCACTGCACTTGCGCAGCACCCGGTACCGCACCGGTACCGCACTGGTACCGCATTGGCACCAGTACCGTACTGGCACCGTACTGGTACCACACTGGGACTCCACCGGCACCGTACTGACGCGGCACCGTGCTGATACCACACCGACACTGACTGGCACCATACTGGTACCGTACCGGCGCAGCATTGGCGCAGAACCGACGCAGGCCCGACAACGCACCGGCACCACACCATTTCCATGGTAATACTATGGCAGCATTGCAATGCAAATCAAGACACAATCACCACACGATTACTACAACATCATCACACCATTGCCACAGTATTATCACACCATTATCACACCAACGCTGCACCAGTACCACACCATTAGCACACAATTACCACACCAGCACTGCACCATTATTTCACCAGTACCACACTGCGCAAGAACCATCATTGCACAATCTCCACACCAGTGCCTGACCAATACCACATTTCCACCACATTACCTGCTAGACTCACCTGCAGCATTGCCCAGCGTGACTCAACAAGTCCCACGTCGGGTGGCTGATGTGCCGCGTGGTTTGTGTGCGTGCTCGTTGGCGCGCCGTGCTCCAGAGCGGAGATGGAGATGAAGGCGCGGATGGAGCAGGTGGCTGAGATTAAGAAGCTGACGGCCCAGATCGTGTCCGCCAAGAGGTGAGGCCTGTGTTCCGCTCTGCAGGCCGCTTGGCAGCGACATCGTATTCGGCCAGGGGTGGGCAACGTACGGCTCTGTGGCCTCGTTTCCCATGGCCCACGGCTTCATTTAACACGGCCCGCACCATCATTTCATATGGCCTGTGGCTTCATTTCACACAGCCCACAACTTCGTTTTTGTTACGTGGCCCATGGTCTCTTGAGTCTTACCAAGAGCTTAATTTCAGCCGGGTGTCTCCGTGTCAGTGAAATCGGAAAATATTTCCGCACATGGCACACTACATCAAGTATACCTCTCGTCATGGCTGGCTGCTCATCACGTGCCACCTACTCCAACCAACCAGCGGCATCAAAATTACTCGGTGAGAATATTAGGCCATTACCTATCGCTTCGAGACTATCACTTAGATATGGCCTGCAATGATAATAATTCATCACTGCCAGCATCAGAGCCACACAAATTGGGTACTGGAGGGGAATATTTCCAAATTGCCAGTACTGTTTCTAATTTGAACAAACTCAGTCACTTATATCACTGCAGGTGCCTCTTTGCAGAGAGCGATGGCTGAGGTGTGTGTGCTCCTGTGCGGGCGCGTGGCTGATTCGCGCTTCGTGCTGCATTGTTCAGTGAGATCGCACGGCAGGAGGATCTGCTGCAGGAGTACCGATTGTATAAGCGCTTCCTGGAGGGGCTGGCGCCACCGGAGTGGCACCAGCGGCGGCGCGAGCGCAAGCGGGCGGCACGAGCGATCGCAGCACCCGGGGAGGGAGCAGTGGAAACGGAGGGAACCTCCCCATGCAGTGAGACACGGCAAATAGGACTGCCGCCCATCCTGAGCTCTCACGCTAAGCCCCCCTGTTCTATGACCTGCACGTGTGTGCCTCTCACTATTTCAGCATTCGTGTTCGCAGGAAAGCCCAGCGGATTCTAAAGATTGTTCTGCTGGAGGGTTGTGCTACATTGTAATGTTTTGCCAATTTCGTTTTTAAGAGAGTTGGGATTCACGTGGGAGGAAATCGGAGTTCCAGTTTAAAATCCAGAATGTTTGTGGGGATAATGCTGAAGAGTTTGCACAGACAATAACAACAGCCCTAATTTCAATTATATAGCATCTAAATACAACCACATTTCAATATAATCAACGATTTTTGGGTTTAGATCGCGTTTATTTATAAATGTGTCGTAACCCTCCACCACCCGACACGGCCAATCAGTAAAAAATGTGTCACGTTGACAAAGACAAATAGTTCACTGCTTTAGCCCACCGGTGTGTTGAAGCAACAACATTCACATCCTCAGGGAGGTGGGGTCCGGGGTGATTCACCAATCATTCTCAGAGACAGCCAAGGTAGCACTGACACATTCCATTCCAGGGCAGCCCCGGCGACAAACCAAGAAAGGAGGCATGGGGAGCAAGAACGCAGAGGAATGGTCAGGCAAGGGTCAGGGGGAAGTGTGTGTCAGTTCAGTCAAGCTATGGGGAGCAATGAAAACAAATTAGGTGGTGTAAAAGCCCGTAAAACAAAGAGGCAGAGGGGATACTTGGGGAAGGTTTGTGTCGGACAGCAGCAACATCACCAATATACAGCCACGTCCACCCAAGTGGAGGTCAGGAGAGAGGCACAGCTCTCAGGCGGCCAACCTACCCGCCACCACCAGACGGGGGTTCACAAACCCAACTTCTGTCGTGCCAACTCCTGGCCACCTGCTCTAAATCGCAGTGGTGATGGTGCACCACTATGGCCAATTCAACATTTACCATTGTGGGTGCACTACAATGATGTGTGTGTATGATCGCTGGTGATTGCATCACGGGGGTGATTGTGCGTGCAATTCCTGCAGAGCCAGAGAACAGCAAAGGAGACGGAGGCAGCTCCAACGCATCCCAGGACAACTCTGACGACAGTGAGGGGGTGAGTGAGGCGTCTGCATCACTTGCAAAGTCAATGGTTAGATCACCACTCACACTGATCATTTCACTCAGTCGTTCACTGAACAGATCACTGAATAGATATCCGACAAGTTAAATGGTTCGTTTATTTATTAGTCCACTAAACTGATCACCGATTAGTTCTCTGCAGGTTAAAGGTACTGAGTGTTCCGGTTTGGCCAGAACAGTCCTGGTGTTAAAAAGTATTTTCCTGAAATGTTCTGGCCTGAAATGTTCTGGCCTCATGCTCGACTCATGATACAGGCAAACGGTGGAGCTACCTGAGTGGTGGATGGCGCTACCTGAGCAGTGAATGGGGCTACCGGAGTAGTGGGCAGGTTTACCTGTGGAGTGGGTCGGGCTCTCTGAGTAGTGGGTGGGGCTACTTGAGTTAGTGGGAAGGGCTACCCAGGTAGTGGGCGGTGCTACCTGAGTAGTAGGCGGGACTTCCTGACGAGTGGGCAGGGAGTGAGTGGGGCTACATGTGCAGTGGGCGGGGCTATCAGAGGAGTGGGCAGGGCCTATGAGCGAATCAGAAACTGCCAACCCCGTCATTGTGTGGAAGGGGCTCGTGATTGGGTGTTGCTATGTAAAAGTGCGTAGGGCTGTCATCTCTCCATATGCCCCAGTTTAGCCTCCCCTGAATGCACGTGCCATTGTTTCACTTCCATACTAATCATGGATGCTGGCACGGTGTAATGGTGAGCAATTTACTTTTCTTGAGGTTACCGGTTCACTCTTGCGGTGCAGCTGTTGAAAACACCCCACACCTCTGTCCTCCCACCATTATAAATGGCTACACCACAGGTATTGTGTGGTTGAAGAGTAGGCCAAATACCCTTTAGAAGGGGCTATCTAAATGTCCCTCTAGTGGAGGCCCTGCCACCAGCAGTGGCATGAGTAGGCAATTTCAGGGCTGCTCATTTACCTTTATCGTCCAATTCAGTCTTGGAGAATCGTCATGAGCTGGATTGCTCCTCCGCTCGCCGGGCCATTTTGCGGCCTGGCGAGATGTTAACTCCCTTGCCTGGTATACAGGAGGTTGTGGGTTCGATCCCGACCCTGACACCTGCTGTATATTTGGAGATTGCATGTTCTGCCCGTGGTCGTGTGGATTTTTCTCCAGGTCCTCCGGTTTTTCGCTCCACATTTAGAAGCGTGTTTTAAAGCATTTGGCTGCTAGAAATGTCCACGTGATAAGCCACTTCATTGTGCTATCATTAGTGGCCAGGTCGCTTTATGAAAAATAACTAAATAGCTCAGAGGGGCCTTACCTGGTGGTGAAAAATATATCTAAATGTGGATGCCGTTGCTCACCCAGGAGTTTGAGCTGCCGCTCAGCAGCCCCCAGGAGCTGCTGGACCTGTTCACGGAGTTGGAGGAGCAGAACCTCTCCCTGATCCAGAACTCCCAGGACATGGAGCAGTCCCTGGAGGAGGCACGCCAGAACATCGCCAGCACGAACCAGCGACTGTGAGTTCAGATGCTTGCATACAGTACCGAGTACTCGTTTAAGGCTGAGTTGACCCAGGGGAGGTCCAGGACGGGATCGCATAACACATGCCACTCATGTTCTGCATCATGGTCGAGAATGAGAACGTGGCCACTCGGATAGGAGCTGAATTCACGCAAGAAAATATGCAAACTTCTGCACAAAGCACCGACAAATATCCCCCATATAGCTTACATAGACTGCTGGGACAAGTTAAATTAGTTTGCACCTACTGAGGCTGGAACGATGCACAAGTAAGTGGTGTGGCCATTGTTTACACTTCACCAGGTACTTGTTTCAGGTTGAGTTGACCTTGAAAGGCCCAAGACCTGTTCAAATATTGACGAGGTTTGATATTCTTTGGGTCTTTCGGTGAAGTCACGTAGATAGGTTAAAAGAAAATAACAAAAAACTACGACGTTTCGATCGCAACATGAGCAGTCATCATCAGGAAAAGGGGGTTAGCTTCTAAAGGTAAACTGTTTATAAAGGTTTGAAATGGGTGTAACCCAAATGTCAGCAGCTAATGTTAATGTAAGTGGTTGGCAGCAACCACGACCGTGGTTGGTTTTCCACCAATCAAAGGGCTGCCAAGTGAAAATTAGCATGTTAATGTAAAATCGGTGAGCAGCCTCCATGGCGCGTGTGCTGAGGTGGCTATGTTCATGTGAGAGATTAACATGTTAATGTGAGAGATTAACATGTTAATGGGAGAGATTAACATGTTAATGGGAGATTGCAGAGCAACAACCTCTAAGGTGGCGCGCGAAGTAGCTGTGTTAGTGTGCACCTGTTAATGAACAACTAACATCAGAAAGTGCTAGGATCGGAACATCATAGCCATGCTCTTTGGTTCTTTTGTCACGTAGGTATAAAATAAAATAAATCACGACGTTTCGGACGCAACACAAGCGTCCGTCATCAGGTGGGAAAGCATGGTCTGCTTCTGAGGCAGACTGTTTTAAAAGGTTTGAAATGGGTGTAGCTCAAGGGTTATAAAGAAGTGGCCGGGGCTAGTGATGTTAATGTGATAAATTAGCATGTAACATCGCCAGTTATAACTTAAACTGGTTGATAATGTCCTTCCAATGATTGCTCAATTTGTACCCATCTTCTCGGTTGGAATTGTGTCTGCGTCTTGTTTTATAGATGGCTTCATGAACGAATCTTTGTTGATAGCCAGTGGGTTTGCAAAGTACCTTCATCTTAGAGAAATCAATTTCATGTGAGCCCACCGCATTAAAACAATGATCAGCCACGGCCCTGGTATTGGTCCTACCGTGTTTCAGATCTGCCTTATGTTCACGAACACGGTCCGAGACATGTCGCTTAGTTTCCCCAATGTAACTACTGCCGCAGACACAGCTTAGTTTGTAGATGCCGAGGTATTGCATGTCAGGGATCACATCCTTCACATCCCAAGTTCGATTCCCGCTCACGACCAACACCAGTGCAACCACACACCACCATAGGACCACACACCACAAAATACAATCCCACACCACTACATACAACCACACAACACTACAATCATCCAACACCACGTACAACTACACACCACTACGTATGATCACACAGTACTGTGAATCAGTCCTGGGTCTCTCCTAGGCTGACTCAGCCTCAAATGAGTGTCTGATGCTATGTGGAAATCATCACCACTTGTAAGACAAATGCGGCCAGGCATGGTGTTGGCGACCCACCCCCTCGTGTACCGTGTCGGGCTTTTATGTATGTAGAACTTCTTTCGCCCTGTACGTAGCCAACCATGATAATCAGAGGTGCGGCCTTCATAGGTGCTCGCTAACAGCGCTTGCCCCAACAGTCTGCTAAGGCTATACGGGGGATGTTTGTCTTTGTGTGGTCACGCTCGACGTTACAGGAACAAAGAGACAGAGGCCCTCGATGTCCAAGTGCAGGAGCTGCGTGCCGCCATCACTCACGAGGAGGAGAGGGCGTCCGACCTGGAGCTCCAGGCCAACGTGTTCTCGCTCGGCGAGCTCCGCCAGGAAGAGCAGGTGGGAAGCCCCGACCGCTGGTCCAAGCCCTCGCTCACCGTCACCACGCATCCTATCCCACCCAACTCACTCTCCTCGCACCCCCACCATCGCCAACTACTCCCGTGGCCCTGTGTGATGGTCGCCATGTCTCCTAGTATCTGTGTGTCCCTGTCTCCGTGTACATGTTCCTTTTTTCTAAGTGTTTTGGTCTCTGTATGTTCTTGTGTCGAAGTTTCCTGGCGTCTGTGTGTCCTGGTCTCCATTTGTCCTGGTGTCAAAGTGTCTTGGTCTTTATATGTTTGTGTGTCGAAGTGACCAAGTCTCTGTATGTTATTGTGTCTAAGTGTCCCGACCTCTTTGTTTCCTGACTGCTGTGCATCTTTGGTGTCTAAGCGTCCTGGTCTCCATGAATCCCAGTGTTTAAGCGTCCTGGTCTCCGTGTGTTACGGTGTCTCCTTGCTTCCTTCTCTTTATGGTGTCCTCGTGTCCGTATGTGCTGCCCTCCGTCCGCGCGCCCCGCAATCCACGCATTGTCGTCCTCTCTGCTCGCGCCCTCCGCTTCGACCGCCGCAGGAGCAAATGCTGGAGGCACTCAGCGCCAAGGTGTGCGCCGTGTACCGGGCATGTGTGGGCACCAGCGAGGGGAATCTGGGAACACTGCAGATGCTCACGAGCGTGGAGAACCGCCTCGAGGAGCTGCTGGTGGAGCTGGAGGGGATGCCCCCGGAGCGGGTGCACAGTGCCGAGCGCGCCAAGCACAAGGAGCGACGCTTGCGGTGAGACTCTACTCCTACTGTTACTGTTTTACCAGGTAAGGCCCCACTGAGCTATGTAGGTCTTATTTAGAAGTGACCTGGCCACAAATTATAGCTTAACGAGATGGCTCATCATGCAGAAATTTACCGCAGCCAAATACTCTAAACGCACCTTTCTAAGTATTGAAGGAAAAACCGGAGAGCCGGAGAAAAATCCAGACGATCACGGGGAGAACATGCAAACTCCAAATATACAGCAGGCGTCAGGGTAGAGATCGAACCCACGACCTCCTGCACACCAGGCGAGGTAGTTAACATCCCCCACCGCGGTGCCCTTCCTCTCTTCCTCCTCCTCCTTTCCCTTCCGGCTGCCGATGCATGCTACGTACGTAGCACCAGGCCATCTGATTATTAATGTAATCGCTCACGCTCTCAATTATCGGTTCAATTACGTTATTTGTGATCGTGTACGACAGTGTGTATGATCACACATGGTGGCGTGTGATCATATGGAGTGGTGTGTGGTTGTACATGGTGTTATGTGATTGTAATGTTATGTGGTTGTATCTGGTGATGTGGAGTTGGTGCATCTACTAGTCATCTCAGTCAGTCAACCCATAGCACCTGTATCTGTCCCGTGGCCTCCTTTCAGTGAGCTTTCAATACTTAACGTAGCCTCAAAGTTCACCTGGCCTGGCACAAGTGCCGTGGTGACGTCATCGCTACTTAGTGGTGAATGGTGGCTGTTGTTGTTGTTGTTGGTGGTATGTGGTTGCAGTATGCGGGAGGAGAAGGCCCGGCAGCAGAAGCAGCACCAGGAGGAGCGACTGCGCCGGGCGTTGGAGAGAGCGCAGGCTGAGATCACGCATCGGGTACCGCGCTGACACCGAAGAAACACACCACACTCACCGCATACACACCACACACATGCCGCACTCACACCGCACTCACACCACACAGACACATCGCACTCACCAGACTCACACCGCATACACCCCACACACATGCCGCACTCATACTGCACACACCGCACTCACAACACACACACATTGCACTCACCGCACTCACACCAGATACCACGTGGACATCACACTCATCACACTCACACCACACTCACCACGCACACACCACACTCACCGCATACACATCACATACAAATCGCCACTCACACCGCACACACACTGCCGCACACACTGAACTACCACATACACACGCTCACAAACTCCAGTATCATACTGTAGGGGTGTCAGGGGAAGGATTCCCACCAATAGGAGGGTTATTATCACGCGTACACACACCCCGCTTGAACACGCACGTGCACACAAACGGTTACACTCGTCTACGAGAGAAATGGATTCTTGGTCACCGGACACCTGCAGCACGTTGGTGATAACACTTGATGAATAGAACAAAAATGTAAAACATCTGAAATATCACCTCCCAGCCTCCATCTCCCCACCCCTAACCTCGTTGCATCATTGTAGGCTGCCTATGCTACATATGTACACAATCGCACAAGTTGTTCCGGTAACCACTGTGGCTGCCAATGTACGGCAGTACGATAATGCATCGTACGATATAAGAACCACAATAACACATTGTCCATTTTGCTACGTATCGTTGTAATTTTTTGACAACCACCTACCCATCAACCAAGACCTCCACAATATTCCTCGCTGCTGACTCAAGTCCCGATCCCCTATCTGAGATCACACTGTCACCATCCTAAAATCCGTAAAAACCCTTGCGAACAGAGTGGCACAAAGCGGACGTCCAGAATAAACACCTCATTCGAGAACCAAACATCGCACACCTCCTGGCTTTGACATTGCTCCTCCTTGATAGACACCGGTGGTGTCACCATCAACCGCATCAGAACATCACCACCAGGCCGACGCACACAGCTCCTTCATGGGTGGAAATTTAAAGACAAGCCACAGTCATGCTGTTGTGGCCATGCAACATAGAGTAAACTACTGGAGTCTGCACTCCTTCCACGGAGGAGGTGGAATAGCAAAACTACACAAACTCTCTCTGCTGAGCCATCTCATGGTTCGTAGACCTCAACATTGGCATTTAATTCCTGAACCCATTGCCATCATGCACACGCACAGTTCAGAATATCGTCATATCGTTGTCCATTCATTTCTCATTTCCTGATAAAATATTTAGGAAATAGTAATGATTAAAGTTAACAATATTAAAGTTCTATTAATATAGTTATTGCATTACACTTTTAAACTCCTTTTTTGTTTTCTTTAACGAGTAACTGATGGGATGGCGATGTTGTGACATTATCGCGTTCTAACAGCACGTGTGTGTTATAAGCATGATATCGATTTCAAAGTTACAATGATTAGAAGACTCGCGTCAGGGTTATGGTGAGTGAGCTGAGGTCAAATTACTTTTAATCACTTTTTATTTCTATTCAAATTCCATCACAGGACAAAAAAAAAGCAGACGATAACATTGTGATATACAATTACCAAGCTGCGGGAAACAGGGCATCGCGCGGTGACCATCACAGCGTGAAACTCGATAGCGCGCATTATCTGTCATGTCAAAACGATATCGCGGGAACGCCGGCGATCGGCGACCCCGCGTGCGCTGGCGTTCACAGACGGGGCGCCGGCTGGTGTTCCGCTCGGAGCCTCCCGTGCGCCGCACCCACAAGGAGCGCGGTCAGGAGAGCAGCGAGAGGGAGCAGGAGGAGGCCCTCTATTTCTTCAGCTGAAGATTCACGACGACACGTCAGCTCGCGTGCAGGTGACGGGAGAACTCTCACGTCGCGCGATCGCGAGAGGTTTGAAGGAGGCCTTCATCCAGCATCGGATTGACCGCTACTGGTGATGATGATGAATCTTCTAGCCTGGTGCAGTCGTGCGACCGTCCTACACAACGCCGCCTGTGCGCCGCATGTGGTTGGCTGTGTCATCAGCCCCATAGTGGGAGGGTGGGGAGTTGTAAAGGGCTGAAACCCTCCCCCTGGTGAAGCATCGGGCCCCCCTCCTGAATTAATATCGTCATCATCATTCCATTCCTTTGTATTGAAGTGTCCCAATGCGACCTCGTGTGTTTTGTTCTCATTCAGAAGTTATTCTCTACATACATGGACTCCACTTATACATATTAATGACTTAGTTTAACACGTAGACTTTCACGACCAATATCATCCATAAGAGTTTTTTTTGGGTTAGATCGCGTAAATATATAAATGCGTCGTTAAAACCTGCCACCACCCGACACAGCCAACTAGTAAGGGTTGTCACGCAAACAGAACGTGCCAATTCGTCACTAGTACAGCTCACCCGGTGTGTTGGAGAGCCAAGCCACAACATTTCCAAACGAGTACGACGTTTCGCCAGTAATTACTGGTGACGTAATATTTTTTTTTATCTCCGCAAGGAACTACTGGTGACGTAATTATTGGCGAAACGTCGTACTCAGTTTGTAAATGTTGTGGCTTGGCTCTCCAACACAGCCGGTGTGCTGTACTAGTGACGAATTGGCACGTTCTGTTTACGTGACAACCCTTACTAGTTGGCTTTGTCGGGTGGTGGCGGGTTTTAACGACACATTTATATATTTACGTGATCTAACCCAGAAACCTCTATTATGGATGTTTACGACTTGTCAGGGGCTTATAATTTGCATGAACTTATAGCAATATGGGAGTTAAGATGAGTTGCATAACTCTGCCTGAAGTACTTGTGAATTCAAACACGTTGTTGCGTTTGATTCCTTGCAGAGATAAAAAAAAAAGATTGTCATCGTCAAGTCAAAATATGTTCATAACCACTTAAAATGTGCCTGTGTGCATCTGCTTCATCGCCGTGCATAAGTATACAACTCACCCATAGGTGTGTGCCAGAATACCACTGCATAGTTTTACGCGGTTCTGTCAAGCTATCGCGTTGGACTGCTTGTTGTTGGGTATGATGTCCGACGTTTCGTTGCACGTGCCAGAAACTTTTGAATCAATGCAGATCCAACAGCAGAGGGCAAGCGACTGCATACATAACACCTTAGCCTTCAATTCATTTTCTGAAGGTCTCAGCACGTGGTTTGAAACATAGGACTTCAAGATACAACCCGAAAAACACATCAAAGAGCTGCCGTGTTTGAAATAGCTTGCCCTCTGCTGGTACATCGCCCTTCCAAACGACAGCAAAATTCACGGTAGAATTAGAGATGATTTCACGATACAACCCGAGTAGAATGCACGGCTAGACACAAGCAAAAATGTTGTTGCTCTGTCCGTTCAGCGTTTTCACATTTGTCAAAAGTGTGTTTAACGTTGACTGTGCAGCCCTCCAACCTCGCCCCCCCCCCCCCGTTTTTACAGGACTGCTGCTGCTGTGTGTGTCCATCAACCCACGCGCGCTTGCTTACTCATGCAAAGCTGCCTGCGTGCCCTATAAGGCGGCGGTGTTGACTGTGTACTGGTAGCGAGCAAAATAAAATTAATCCGTAAAAACAAAGTTTTTCACTATAAATCCTTTATATGCGTGGCATCGGTTTTATTTTATTATTCATTTCTGTTTTTCTTGAGTAAGAGTTTCATTTTTATCACATTGGTATTTTAAATTAAATATAAAAAAAAATTCCTAAAAAGTGGAAAATTTTGGAAATGTTTTTCCACGAAAATAAATTGTCACGCACAACGAGTCTGTGTGCAAAATGTCAGCTCGATTGGATCACGGGAAGTGGGTTAAAAAACGACCGAAATATTTGCACGGTCGTAAGCGCGCAAGCAAGCAAGCAAGTGAACTTAATATAAAGGATAAAAAAAAGCGTCTCTATCGACACCACCTTTTGATATCTTGAATGTTGCTTTTGAAAGGAAAAGTGATGATGTGTGCCAAGTCCTCATCATCACCATCCACTCTGGGTTCTACACGGGTGGGAGGTTAAATCATGGCTTGAAGCAGTCCTCACGCGTGAGAATACCCGTCGAAATTTCCCAAACCACTTTGGCGATGCGGATTTGAGATTAATCTCACGCTGGCAGAAGTCGGTCATTATCCTGGATCTGGACGCATTGGCGGTACTACACCAGTGCAGCAAAAACACACCGGTCCTCATAAAACCGTCTACAAACAAAATTTGAGCTGACGTTCGTCTTCCGACTGCTTCGACATCGCGGAAACTGATTTTGACTCGCACCACCCCGCAAGAATTTCTGACCGGGGTTGCGAATCGCGGGTAAATAACTAAACAATGCGTTAATTTGCCTTTTCTTTGTTATACCGCATACCGCCGGATATGCAAAACAATACACGGTTCACGTGCACGAGGAAGAGCAAGGATGACATGGATAGATAACATCAAAGCATGGACGAGGCTCACGCTGGAACAGGCAATGAGGAGGAGGAGCAGAAGACAGAAGTCAGTGGCGAAGGATAGCCCACGGTGCGGATAACCCTCGGATCGAAGTGGGCTGAACACAAGACTACTTCCGATGTACTGCCAATACGTTCATTTAAGCAGAAGATGAAATCAATCCGAGACACATGAAACAATGCCTCTGTTGACAAGACCGTTAACAAAAGTTGTGTTTTTCTTACATACCATTAGCCACACGGCCCTCGGGGAGCGTGTAATTTTAGCAGCGTTGTTTCGACACAAGCGAATTCCGGACTGGTTTTGACATTGGGCGTCTCCACAGCCGTCAGCCTTGCTTGCAAGGGCCACTTCGAAGAGAAATTCACGTGAATCGAGATAAGGATGCCAGAAATTAAACATAGTTGAGCCTGGGTAGTGCTTGGATGGGCGACTAGCGTGTGCAAACAGGTTGTCGCAGGGTTTGCGGGGCTATGTGGTGGGTAATGTTCGCGCGCTGCTCTTCGTAACCCGGTGACCTGAGTTCGATTCCCGCTCACGGCCAACACCGGTCACGATAATCTGAACCGGTCCTGGGCCTTTCCTAGGTCTACTCAGCCTCAAATGAATACCCGGCGCGGTGTGTAAACATCGCCACTGGGGAGACAAAGGCGGTCGGGCGTGGCGCTGGCCACCCACCCCCTCGTGTACCGTTCCGGCCTTTATAGGTGCTTGCTAACAGCACTTGCCCCTACAGTCTGTTAAGGCTATACGGGGGATCTTTTTGTGCGTGGAAAGTGGTAGTTTAGCGGTTAGCGTGCTAAACCTGACGATTATCCAAACCGGTCCTAGGCCTCCCCTAGGTCGACTCAGCCTCAAATGAGTACCTAATTCGGTGTGTAAACATCGCCACCGGGGCGACAATGCCAGCCGGGCGTGGTGTTGGCCACCCACCCCCTCATGTTTATTGCCGGCCTTCATAGGTGCTCGCGAACAGCACTTGTCCCGAAAGTCTGTTAATGCTATACGGGGGATCTTTGTCTAAGGGCTACATCGTGGGCAGCAGAGAAGACTAGCAGCAACGTGCATCGTTTTTTTACTGTACTGTACTCATTTGCTTAAAAATCTATGTTCCCCCACCCCACATCTCCAACCGGCGCTGATCAACGTGTGGTCAAATACCACTCACAGATTAGCACCTCCGATTAGCACGGTTGCCTGCATACGGTCCGAAGGAAGGTCAACACACACACCCATCACTGCCTGCGCGGAACGGTTAGGTGTTCACCAATCAGTGGGTGAGCAGAGCTATGTAGGGTACACATGTCGAGTGTCAATTGTGAACGTCTCACAGCCCCGGCAGCTGCTGCTGTGGCAGCGCTGGGCCGGCAGCTGCTCACGGTGGTGCAGGTCTCGTGCAAAGCTCCGCTCCACGAATTGCCTTTACTCACAGACTTTCTACGAGAAGAACAGCAGTAAACTAACCACCACCCTCCAAGATTATTATTATATTTACCATGGCGGGCGGGGGGGGGTCACCATGTAGCGACGTTAACCACCTATTTCTGCCACGAAAACTCATTTCTACCCCCCCTCACCCCTCTTTTATCCAAAAGTGGTCTCGTCCTTCCCAGCGTGACACTTAAACTTTTCTGTGCCTCATTTTCTTAGGGGTTTTTTTTCTCAGTTTATTGGGTTTCCCTCTTGGGTTCTTAGGGGGTTATCTCAGTTCATTGGAGGTTCTCTCTCAGGTCTTACAGATGCGAACCATTCGTGGGTTGACGTGCACGCCAAAGGGCTTTAAATTATAATTGATTTGGATTTGAAGCTTTCGTGGCTGCAGGAATCCATACTCTTTGGTTCTTTCGGTAAAGTCACGTGGGTAGAAATTAATAGATCACGACGTTTCGATCGCAACACAAGCCACCATCATCAGGTGAGACAATCACAGCAGGGAAAAACTGCTAAAAACTTTTTCAGCAGAATTTTCAGCAGTTTTCCTGCTGTGATTGTCTCACCTGATGATGGTCGCTTTTGTTGCGATCGAAACGTCGTGATCTATTATTTTCTACCCACGTGACTTTACCGAAAGAACCAAAGAGTATAATTGATTTGCTATTGTTTGTAAACTCGAATGTGCTGTGAACCACTGCACCGGCACTCGTGAAATGTAATGGGCAAGGGTTCGAAGCAGCTTTTAAAGCGCTTACCGAATGGCAGGTGTGTGTTCAAGCCGGCATCATCAAATGAGGTGACACCTACTTTCTGGGGTAGGAATCGACTAACTCTGGTGCAGCGTTTCTGAAACTCTTTTGGACCCGCGTGCCACTCGGCCGATGCAAACATTTCAGCGGACCCCCCCACACACCCACCCCTGATGACAAGCCAGTAATACAAACATAATGATTCATGATAATTGGTTCTTTACCCTTCTATCTGGCAACAAAACTGACACCTTTTTACAAGGAGTCATGTTTGCATAGACCGCAATACCTGCAGTCATAAATACAAACAAAAGACATAACTCTGATAATGTGCACTCTGATAATGTGCACATTATCAGAGTTATGTCTTTTGTTTGTATTTATGATTGCAGGTATTGCGGTCTATGCAAACATGACTCCTTGTAAAAAGGTGTCAGTTTTGTTGCCAGATAGAAGGGTAAAGAACCAATTATCATATTTTTACTGGCAAATGAGGTCCCCATAGTGTATAATGATTCATATTACCGCTTGTAACATTAAACATGTTGTTTTTAAAACGCAGCTACAAAGGTATTTTAGGCGGGGGGGGGGGCATTTAGATCTTAGGGTTATGGTAGTTTAATCAGAGTATTTTACCGAACTTGATTGTTCAATTAAATACCATTAGTAAAATATGAATTCGTGTACGAAACAGAAGGCGTACAAACATTGGCATTACTGTCCGGATCAGCCTGCATTTGCATCACAGCCCCGCGGAGCACCTGGAGGACCGTCACAGACCACCGCTGGAACTGGGGCCCACACTTTGAGAACCACGTGTAGTTCCGGTGATCGGGATTGTTTGGCCATACTTCACCACGGTGGTCCGTGTGGGTTGATGAAGGGGGGGGGGGGGAGAGAGAGACAAAGGCCGCTTGGGAAATCGCTCATCGCGGAATTTAAGGGCAGCAGTGCGCTAACCATAGCGCCACCACTCCACCCACGGTGGTTCAAATTGCGTGGTTCTATGGAGCTTTCTCGAGTGTCTCCGAACGGGCGCGACTAAGACGATCCTTTAAACTGACTGTTGGGGCAAGTGCTGTTAGCGAGCACCTATTAAGGCCGGAAAACGCGAGGGAGCGATGTGGAAAACACCACGCCCGGCCGCCTTGGTATCCCCAGTGATGTTTACACATCTGGCTGAGTCGACTTAGGGGTGGGTGGGGGTGCCAAGAACCGGTACATATATTCGCCACCGAAGTTGACCGCGAGCGGGAATCAAACTCGGCGCGCTAACAACTGCGCAGCCGCTCCCCCCCATCATCATCATCACAACAGCGATCGCACCCCGCACACCTCCTTGCACGCGCATTCCTCGGTGGCACGCGGCGCGTGAAGAGGAATGTGGACGACTCAGGCTCGCACCGGCTCGACACAATGAGATAGCCGCCACCACCAACCTCATCACCCCGCATCTCCCCCCCCTCCATCCCTCAACACGCGGTGTTTCACCGCTCTGCTCCCAATCTCAACCTCGCCTCCTGCTCCTCCCACCATCACCACCACCGCAGGTTCACCGCCTGACCACAACAACAGACGGCCTCCACCCCCCCCCCCCCACCACCACCACCCACGCCGCTCAGGAGTCGCGTGTGCTTCACAGCAGCCGGGGTCTCGCTGGCTGGCTCGATGCGGGCCGAGCAAGAGAGCAGATCGCGAAGCGAACAGGAATAACCGGAGGGGCCAGGCTGCTTGACGCGAGGAACGGCGAGGGGAGAGAGGCGCTCTCGTGTTCCCTGCATCTCCACTGGCGCCTCCTGCACCGCTGGTGCCGGGGTCTTCTCACCTGCGCCTCCCCGCAGCTCACCGCTCACCGCTGCGACTGCCAGTCTCCCTCTAGCTCTCTCTGCGTGCTGCCTCTGTGCATCGCTTAACCACTCTGCTCATCCCCTGCAGCTCCCTGTTCATCCCTGACC